AAAGATATCCTCTTGCTCCACCAGTGTCTCTTTCCCCGCAGTCCTTATAAACCTGAGATTCTCTGTCTCTGCAAAATGTTGCTCTGTGACTAAAAACTGACCTCTTGGTACACTGTCTTTGTCCATCTCAATACTGGACCAATTTCACAGATTGTTCTCCCTATCAGTCAAGCACACACAAACACAAGGTAAAATAGGTCTAGGTTGAATAATACTGAAGTTACCCTTTGAGTTGATGTGAAGTGCATTCACCATGTTTTCCTACCATAGTCTGGCAGGGCAACAACAAGTGATGAGTTGATTGACAGGTAGAGCCTAACAACAGATCTGAAGGCGTGTTGTGCAGGTGATAAATGATGGCCATCTCAGTCATGATAATGTGATTTGTGGCTCTTGAATCGTTAAAAAAAAAACATTGTTATGGATGTTTTGAAATGGCAAACTTTTCTGCAACTGTTGATCTTGTAAAGTACAAAGGGTGAAATCAAAGATCTGGTAGCAGTGATGCAACCAAAAATACATTTTAAGCTTTTTCCAGAGTCAACTGTTTAAAATGCTTTTAATGACTTCAATGCAAATCTGTTGCTAACTTTTGGCACAATAGATTCTTATGTTTGAGCAAAGCTTTGCATATTTTAAAAATTGTTACATTCTTCCAGAGCTACAATACGACTAAGTTAGACATTTCTACATTTCTTGGGATTATAAAAGGTGGAAAAACTATGATAAGTACTATGTGAAGATGTGCTCTTGCTGTGCTAAAGCTGTCAAGAATGATAATGAGAGTTCATGTGTTGAAGCACTGTGAATGAGGAAAACGAGGGAGAAGTAAGAGTGGAAAGAATGAGAAGAGGCATGTTGGAGGGGAGTTAGTAAGTTCAGAGAAATGTCAGCATTTAAGAAAAAAGACAAGACAGAACATGAATACAAATGGATGACAATCTGCTCTCTTTAGGTTTGATGATGGCAAACTTGAACTGCTGTTAACATCCTCCACAAGGTTTTCGAGGAAAGAATACAATTTCTCGACACAACAGTTTGTTCTCCTAATGCGCACAAATGTTTGTTTTAGCAGCTTCCAAAGAGCTTTGCCGCTCAGTAGCCATTTGCATAATTCAACAAGTTCTTCTGGCACAGCAGAGTTGAGTTATACTTCTTCAACAAGGTGAAACAAGGACAGATCTGGCTTTCTGGATGGAGAGTAAGGGAGACGGAGAGAAGGAGAAAAGGGAGCGGGAAAGTCATGAGCGTTTGGGATGAATGGTGAATCAGAGCGCAAGAATCCGCTTCTTTGGGACTTCCGGGTTGGTGAGCATGTGAGTGGGAAGCAAAGCCTCAGGCTCTCTCTGTAGTCTTCTTAAATTTCTATATTATCCTTCACTTCAGATAACATGAGAGTAGTTCCTTTGAACTGCAAGTGTCCCTTTTCTCTAATAGGATACCAACCACCAAAGGGAAAAAGTCTGACAAAGACGGCATTCCTGTGTCCAGGGACTCTCCTGACACCAGCATTGTTAGCATGTTTACCTGAGAGCTGAGATCAAGATAAGCTTTGCAACAATGGATGCGAAACTGGAATACAAGCCAGCAGTGGAAGCCAATGACAATCTGCAGGACCAATACATCAGTAAACTGGAAGGGTGCTGTAAGTTGCTTGCTGATAGCAATGTCAAGCTAATGGCTAAAACAGCAGATTTTAGGGGAAAGTTTTAAGACTTTAATTGGAGGCAGAATTATTATGTTAATAATCTCTGCAGATTACTAACCTTTAGACCATATATTGTCAACCACCTCACTGCTACTGCTACACTCATACAGGTATATGTGTGTATACATACTGTGTGTTCACACTTTAAAGTTCTTTAGTTAGTCCCTAAATCCTGATTACTCATTGAATTTAGTTTCAAGCCTTACATTTTGTTCTGTTTTTTTTTTCACTTGTTTAAAAAAAAATTGAGGATTTTAGTATTATTTTGCTTTCAATGAGCATTGTGTGTATATATATATACAGTACGTGCGCACATTTACTAGTACATGTGCTTGTATATATGTAAATATATGCAATACAAATGGAGGGTATGTTTACATACATTTGCATATGCATGCGTTTGTACTGTTGCACATGTTTGTAATTTATAATTTAGAAAAAAATTATATAATTAAAAGCAAGAATCTGCTTTCTTGGTTGCAGCACAAAACAATGCTGAGCATCCCAGAATGGTCAACGGTGTTAACATGGTTATTTGCAGTTTTTTAGGGTCTAGAGAATAACAGAAATTTCTCAGTACTTTCTTAACACACTCCTTGGGGCCACCCAAGGTAGACTAAGACCCACCCAGATCAATAAAATCCAAATGCTATTTTATTTATTCTTTTTTATCGGGACCATAATTGTTGCTTTTGACGTGCAGACACTCAGCAGGATATCAAGAGACTTGGAGTGCTTTTATTTGTGGCTTCGTCACTCAGGCAGGAGGTCACTGTTTGCAACTTTTTAAGTAGCCAGAAGTGAAAACAGCAAAGCAGGAGGCCTGCACTCTTGGAGGGGAGGTTAGACACCTCCTGCAGGGAGAGGGGCCAAGGATTTATATGAGCGCTTTCTGTCTGTACTGTTGAGCCTTTTCTATTACACAGTCAATGTTTGGGTGTTTTGGCCCATTGATTTTGACAGAAAACTGGCCACAACATTCAGCATGGGTTGATCCTCATTTCTATAAAAGCTGCTCAGTGGGGCATGAAGTCAAAAATGTTAACTGCCAGGATTTTGGAGATTGTGTATGTTCTCTTGGTCCAAAAAGCGAGTCAGCAGCACATCCTTTAGCCCCCATCTCAGCTCTTGCTTTAATGTTAAAATATTCCTTAAATTGTTTCTGGTTGGTAATGTTGACAACCCTCTGATTTAGATGAGGAATTTATTCATTTATTTGTGTCAATGCTTTAAAGTATGGCTACCAAAATATCAGATTTTACCTTCATAGTAGGATAATGATATTAATGGAAAATTGTACATTTTCATAATTTACGTAATTGTCTGACATATAATCACCTTTTCTTAAAGCGTTCACATTTATAAATTATCCATATCAGCACCCTGTGACCAGAACTTGTTTGGGGAAAACAGGCTTTATAATCAGTTGAAGCACACTACTTCTTGTAGATCAGAACCAAATGCAGACGATACAAATATTCAATGTAATCCCAATTTCTAACATTACTTTTGATCTTGAAAACATAAGTTTGAAAAGTGTCTAGATAAATATCTATCAGATGGCTGATTAAGCTTGTCATGATGTGTTCTGTTAATTTAGTTTTCCCTGGGTTTGTTATTTAAGTGTATTTTCTTTGTGTTTTTCCTAGTGTTTCTGTTCCCTATCATTCCTTGTGATCCAGTTTGTATTTGACCCTGTTTCTCTCCCATTTTCAGTGTTTTATTTTTTTAGTCTAGTTTTCAGTGTTTCCTGTTTTGTTTTGTTTTGGAGAAGTTGATTCCTTGTGTTTCTAGTCTGGTTTTACTTCCCTAGTTTTCCCTCCTTTTGTTAATCACTCATTAGTTTCACCTGTGTCTTGTCTGCCCCACCTGTTGCTCGTTTGCCTCACCTGTTGCTCGTTTCCCAGTGTGTATATAGGCTGTGTCTCATTTCAGAGACAGCATCGGGATAAGCGCGTTAATCCTGATGCGGTCTCTGAAATGAGACACAGGGGTCATTCAGAGCGGGTCATTCAGAGAGTTTCTGTGGTTTCTGATGAAACAATCCGACTGATGATCAGCATTTGAGATCCAGAGGGAGATCGCAGCAGGTGCAGGTGTTAACAAGTGCATGTGACAAGACGGGAGACCATGGACCCTTTGAGCATGTGGCTCTTTCAATCCATGAAGAGGAGACGCTGCGCCGCCGAGCAAGGCGGAGACGGAGGCGCCTTATATATTATTTAATGAAACTGCGCGCCGAAAGTGGAGAGGTAAACCTGTTATTTTATCTGGCATTCATCAGCCACACAATAGTTGTGCCATTGTCACTCCCTGTGTATCACGTGAATTCCCCCTTTAATTCACAGCAGTGCACGTCATGGAAATCTTCATAGGTGTCAAAAAATATTATTTTGTTTACTGACATCAGCTGAAAAGCCAACATTGGCTGTTAGTACATGAGACATTAACCTGCACAATTCACAATCATTGCAAGTGACATCCATGCCATGACCGTTCTTTCTCCTGCTTGGTTCCTAACACAGACCGGACCCCTAAACTGCAGGTTGAACACAGGGGTCCCGGTCCTCCAGCAGTTTTTCGCCGGCACTGACACCAGGGAGGACTTCAGGCTGAGCAGAGAGTCCCCGGCAGTGCTGCTGGACCTCCTCTATCAGGAGTGGAGGCATGGATGGGGCGCCACAATAGAGACTCTGGTTCTCCTTTTTTGGCTGGCCAGTGGGGCATCATACAGGGTGGTCTCAAGGGTGTTTGGGATGCCCCACTCCACTGTCCACCCCATCGGCCACCGAGTTACAGAGGAGGTAGTGGCCATTTGTCACAGGGTCATCTACCTCCCGAGCTCCGCAGACGACCTGGCGGCTGTAACTCAGGGGTTTGCAGGGCTGGCTAGGCACTGCGCTTTTCGCAAAGCTGCCGGTGCAATAGACGGCTGCTAAGTCCGAATTAAGCCACCAAGCGGTCCTGATGGTCACTGTTACATTAACAGGAAACTGTTTGCATCCATCATTTTGCAAGCAGTCTGTGACCATCAGGGCCGCTTTATTGACGCCTACGTGGGCTGGCCGGGGTCTGTGCATGACACGAGAGTATTCCGGCACAGCCCACTGTACAGGAAGAATGTCTACCCTCCTCCAGGGCATTTCATCCTCGCAGACAGGGGATACCATGCCTCCAGCACCCACTCCCCCTCATCACTCCCTACAAGCTGCTGGTGTGAGGTGTGGCAGCCCAGCGCTTTAACGGGCATCATGCCAGGGCACGCTTTGTTATTAAGCGTGCCTTTGGCATGATGAAGACCCGCTTCAGTGCCATCTTTTTAAAAGCGCTGGTGATCCACCACACCTTCGTGCCACAGGTACATCATCACTGCACACAATATTTTTGTTATACTTGAGTATATATTAATTAATTAATTAAATAAAACATGAAAACGTATTTATTATCATACTTATATTGTTATACTTTTTTATTTATTGAAGGTCTATATACTTTATGTTCTTATAAATATTCCTAATAAATTCAGGTCATCACCGCTTGTGCCGTCCTGCATAACATCTGCCTGGGTGCCGGTGACACCATGGCACCAGAAGTAGATGTGCGGGACGGCATGCCGGGGGATGAGGTGGAGGACAGGCTGGAGGCAGCCAGTGGTGCCAGCTGGCGGGACAGATTGTCTACAGAGGTGTCGGCCCTGGAGGAGGTAGACCACAACCATGACTACCTGTAATCGGCAAGTACAGTTCATCTAAAGTTTCTCCTCTGTGTGGCACAGAATGTTTGTTGGTTACTGATCAGCTTTTTAGACCTCAGAAGATGTGACTTAAAACATGTTGGACTCTGTTAGCCTACTCTTGTCTCTCTCCTTAAAACAGGCATGGCAGCTCTGCAAACCCGGACAATGTGGAGGACAGTGGAGACATGCAGCCCAAACACCCAGACCACCCACATGATGTCCCACTGCCAGAAGACACCAGAGTCTCTATTGTGGTGTCCCATCCAGCCCAGCAGCACTGCCAGAGACTCCTGCTCAGCCTGGAGAAGAGGAGGCACCATGACAGGGCAGGCAATAGCCCAGGTTTCCTAAGTTTCTTAAGTTCTGTTTATACAGTGGTGCCTGTTTCATTTAGCATTTTGCCAAATGTTGTTGACCTCAGTATTTTATTCCATTTTCATTTTCCTCACCCTTTTAATAAAAAGATGTAACTCAGAAATGAATCTTTGTTATGTGAGGATGCACCGGATGCTGTCTGGCCACCCTGTTGCCAACACAGCTTGAGGAGGGACATATGAATAGACTGGAGATGGTGTAAGCAACTTAAAATTCTTTGATAAATTAAATGCCATTATTAATGTAAAAAAAATACAAAAAGTGCATTCATATTAAAAATTCTTAACAAAAATAAGTGTGAATATAACAGTAACATAAACAGAAATCAACTCAATTGAGGTCAACAATTTTTTCGAGTAAGGCCAGCATCCGGTCCATCCGCTCCTGGCTTCTGGCCTCAGCTTGTTATTGGTGTCTAATGTCCTCTCTTAGCAGAGCCAGGAGCGGATCGGATGCTGGCCTCCTCTTTCCTTTTCATCCACTTGGGCGAGGTTGTTGTTCAGTGTCCTCATCCTCGTCCTCCTTCTTCTTCTTCTTCTTCTGCTTCTTCTTCTTCTTCCTCCTGATGCTGCTGCTGCTGCCTGGTGGGTGCAGTGCCACTTGGCCCTGGTTCATCCTCTGGAAGTGAGGCAATTAGTACTGGGGGGGTTATTGATGGCCTCTGCACCAGCATCTTATCCATGAGGATGAACCAGGGCCAAGTGGCAGCTGTCATTGCTCCCCCTGCCCCAGCCCCTGTGGGAGGCTCTTTGTTTCCCTCCTTGCAAGTTATTAAACGGTTTTTCTTTTTCTCAGGAATGCAAACACATTCTTCATGACCCAATGTTCAATGTTACGCAGCATCATAAAAACCTTTACATACTTTATATTTTCTTTTTAAATTCTCCCACTTCCTCTTTGCCTGCAGGGGTGTCACTTGATTTAAAAGCTGGAGCTCTGACAGTACAGCTCTTGTCACAAAGAGAAGTGAGACAAAAAGTTAATACATGTCACATTCACACACAAGTGCGCAAAGATTCAGAATCAGTCACATGACCTATAATTTAACATACTATTGGCATATATGACTTCTTGAGCATTTGGTGTTCCTTACCGCTATCCAGCAGCAGCTGAATTTTTGGCTGCGGTGAAGAGGTGCTCCCTCTCCCCCTGGAGCCAGATGATTTTTTCTGTCAGCTCTTTTGTCCCTGCAAAAACATAAGTGTGAACTGTGTGTGTTTTCTGTCTGTCTAGAAGTAGGGTAGAGAAGTTAAATGTGCTGAGTGGAGCCTGGTGTATTCAGATAGCTTAAATCTACTGTAATAATACATGTACTTCCTGTCTCTGAAAGGGAATGAGAGCAGACACACTGATTGGTTTGATTTATGTTAGACCCAAAACACATTGCTGAAAAGTCAAGGAGCCAAATACAATCTTTTAGGGCCCTTCACTTCAGTTAGCCCTCAGATTGTGCACCGCTTAACTTGCAAAAAGAGGATGCATATCATACCTGCCAACATTTCGGTTATAAAATCTGTGAGATTTTTGCGGTGTGCATTGGGCAGTTTTGGGGTTACCTTGTATGGTGGATATGAGCTAATTATCAGAGTATTAGATGGCTCATCCAAATAAGTATAAGTGAAGCTTCACACTTTTTTTGTTTTGTTCTAAAAACAACAAATGGTAATGAAAAAATAATAGCTACGATATGCCTTGAAGTCCACTAATTTTGGTGTTAAAGTCCTCATGTTTTATATGCTCTTCTGTTTGAGGCTCTCTGGACATCTGTGTGTGCAATACAGCACTCTTTTATCTGAGGCTGCCCTGAACGCATCACTCGGAGATGGTGCAAGACTATCAATGTAAATATTATATCTCATGTTTGTAACCCTCTCATTGAAGTGTTCATTTTGCAACAAACACTGCTTAAATATAGTTTACAGCTTAAACTGACCTGAATCATCCCAAATAGTAAAGTAAAAGTATCAATCCAGTGTCAGTGAGGCTCAGCAGAAACACAGGACAATCTCTGGTTGTCTGGAAACCTGGCAACTTTGGACGAATATAGTGATCCGATTCATGAATGAACGTGGACCATGAAAACTACAGGAGATTCCCGGGAGAAATGACGATACAGGAGGTGGGCAGGAGATAGGTCTGAAATACTGGAGAGTCCCGGGAAAAATGGGAGTGTTAGCAGATATGATGCATATGCAGTGATTCAGATTGCACCATGGGCTTTTGACATTTTGCATTATAGATCATAGAAAAAGGACCCACAGTCTTTCATGATTGTTTTAATCTTTTATCATTTTCGCTGTAGGCTAGCTGTTATTCTCTGTCTGTTCTTTAGTTAAGCACTTACCACATAAAAAAGTTGAGTTGAGTCATGGTTAAGTTTTGAGTGCTCATGTCTCTTTAGGATAAAACACCAAAGAGCATTATATATCTGTTATTGATTGTTTATACTTGTGAATTTTAGACTGTAAAGAGTATACAACATAAAAGTGGAGGAGTAATGACTCAAGCAACATGTGGACATCAAACAGAAGCTGCAGCCGTCCAGCAGAGCTGTATGACGCAGGGTGAGAGCTGCTCCTGCCTGTGGCCTCCAGGTAGTTTTACAGCTGGATTCATCTGTGTCTGTTTGTGCGTGTGTATGCACATATGTTATCAAGGCGCAACACCCAAATTATGTCTAAGTGTTGACAGCTGTAGAGTGCTGTTTTGGTCCTCTGTGTTTTAATGGAAAGCCCTCTGGAGTAAAGTGAGGCTTGTGCCTGAGAGACCTCATCTATTCTGACTGCAAGTATCGATCTATGTTATAAGCCGAAAAACTTGTAAAGCTCCCTCAAGAACTAACCTGTTTATAAAAGAATTGATTAAATTTGGGGGAAAAAACAGAAGTTGTATCATAAGAAAATGTTCAATGGTGTTGATTCTTTTGAGATAAGAACTGTGTTGAACAGATGCCGGACCCAGTGACATTGGATCTTTTGCAACTCAATGAAAAGTTGAGAAATAGTATTGATGTCAGCCTGCAGGAGTCTTTTCTCTCCATGATCCGCTGTAACAAACACAGTGGAACGGTTCTGGAGGCAGTGCAGCGCAAGCGGAGGCTGTCTGAGGTAGCTCTCTTCATCAGCCGCTTTTTTCTATCTTAACGTTGGCAGCCGAGACTGATACACGATGCCTGGAAGAATAGGGAGCAAAGGGAATTCAGCTGTCACAGAGACCCCAAATATAACCTGAAGAAAGCTCCATTCTCCTGCTCTCTGCCTGCCTCCCTCCATCTCTCTACAACCCACCCTTTGCAGAATCTCAGCTGAGAGGCCTCTCATCCTCATCTGTGTGGCTCTTTCCAGGTTTAACACTCGCTTGCAAATGCAAAGAAAAGCTCCCATTTTTAAGAGTCTGACAAGATCCACCTCTTTGGATGACATGCAGCTGATACTGTGAAAGGCCCACCTATACAAGTGCTGATCCAAAACATTTCCCTGGATGTGACTTTCACATGCTGAGGCTTTTTAAAATTTCATACCCCATCTTTCTTCAGTCGCTTCTCATCTGCTGTGAAGGAGCAAATACACCATACGTTCAACATACATGTGTAAGCAACAGGTGTGTCATAATCTGTATTCAGGATTCATCAACACTTCTGCTCACTTTGTGTCTCAAGAACCACTAATTACACTGCAGCGAACACTGGAGTTAGTCGGGGATTAAAGAAGTGCAGCTCCCATAGAGCTTCATATCTGCCAGCACAGTGTTACAGCGAAAGTGTAAAGAGCCAAATAGATTCAATATAACACTTCCATCTTCCCATCTGCTTTCCCAGCTGTAGTTTAAGCAAATGAACTGATAATGATGCATACATTATAACCTGCATCTGTTAATTATATCTTTCCTGGTACTCTTCTCACTCATAAAGATGAGGGGCCCTATATGAAAGCCTCTGAAGTAGACAGTCTAAAGCACATGGTGCAAAGTAAATCAGTGCGCTTCTGACAACTTGTTGCCATGTCAACAGCCTAGAATTTGGGGACTTGGTGAGATGCAGGGCCTAAAAAAGAGGTCAGTTTAAATCCACAGAATATTGTAAGATGTGTTTTGAGCGTAAAATGAAGCAAATCAGTCAGTGTGTCTACCTGCACTACCCAACTTTACCTTTAAGTTTGAACAACAAACCTCAAGGTCTGTTTACTTTTTACTGTTAGTTGTGAGAAAGACACAATGAAGGGTAAATATCGCTGAAAAACTAGTTTCCCAGTAACACCTAAGATCCAAATGGATCCACACTAAGATCTAACTTTCAACTCTGCATGTGTTTACAGAGCTCCAATGTTTCTGTAGCCAGGTCTTCTTGACATGAAAAATGAATAGACATATCAACACTTATTCACAAGTACATTCAACATTATTCCACACTCAGGACACATCAACTGTATTGGACAGGATATAATAATGAATAGCATTCTATGTTCCCTACACCAGAGAAAGATAGAATGTTCTTTGCTTGTTTTTCAAGCTGGATCCATGATCACATGATTGGCTTGTACTGGTGACATCTTATTCCCAATTTCCACCATGTACCCAAACATTCCACCAGAACGGCTATGAAAAGGCTGTATCTGCCAATC